CCCCCGCCAGACTCTTCTCTCCAATTAGCCACTCAAACACTAGAAGCCGAGCTGTGACTCAAGTGGTGGAGTGCTAGCCTTGAGCGCAAAGAAGCTCAGGGACAGGGACAGTGGCCCCCCAGACCCTGAGTTCAAGCCCCATGACAACAACAACAACAACAAAAAGCAGAGCAACATATGTACTGATGTATACTTGTATTTTTCTAAAATCAAGGTAAGACCAACTTAAAACAAGAACCCAAGTTGCTACAAGAAGCTGAGCTGTGGTTAGAACTGTTTGTTTTTTATATCCTGGAGTTCCATTCTCAATCTAAAGAACCTGCATCTAGAGCAGCACTCCAGTCAACGAGATTCTGTACTTCCTCTTCCCATGTCTCATCAAAGTCTTCCAAGTCATCTTCAGTCTCTTGCTCCCCTGCTTCAGAAGACTTAATGTCACTAGCTGATTCCGATGTAGAACCTGAGTTGGGAAATAGAATAAAAGAGAAAGCGAATGGATTTAGCAGGAAAATATGATGGAAAGTGATGTGGTTAAGCACTGGTCTCGGAATGCTGACAATCATCTAAGTGATTTCAAGTAACCTTGAGAAATTCAAGTAACCATTGAGAAAAATTTCAATGTCACTTTCTGCTGAATCTTTTCATTCTTAGCTAATTCATTCATATGAAATATATCTGCCACATACTCACTGATTTTATTTTAGGGAAAGATGTCCGTGAAGCATAACAGTAAAAAGGCAGGGGCTTAGATGTTGTTTTAACAAAATGAATTATAAGGGTTCACCATCTAATTGCCTATTTTCTAGGTCTTACTCAAGTTGTATCATACAGAGTCTCTACTTTAGAATTTGTTTGATTTTAATCTTAGAATAATTTGGATAGTAAAAAGTAATAATAAATTTTGTCTTGATTTATATGATCTAGGTACTGCCAAAGAATTTCTTTCTAGTCATACCTGTTTACTAGTTTGTGCTCAGTTAGGCAAACAGAGCCTAATAAGTAACAAAATCAAGAGAGTTTTAAGAGCCCAAGGCATGTCTTAGTGGCAGAATTACCTGCCTAGCAAGTGCAAGGTCCTGAGTTCAAACCCCTTGTACAACCAAGAAAAAAAAAGTGAGGGATTTACTAGAGAAACTAAAAATTATTCAGGTGTGATAGGTAAGTGGACTCAGGAAAAGAGGGTCTGGAAAGCTACATGTCTGGGAGTCTAAAATCTATTAGCACCTGCATTAGACTGATTCACTCAGATGGACTGGGAAGTCAGTCAGGCACTAATACATATACATACGTAGAAGTACTCATTATTATTATTTTTAACATTTTGGAACTTAGTTTTAAATTTTAAGTTGCATTTTAACCAATTAAAAAGGGTAGTATACTTAAAAGTATAAGAGACCCAATTTTTTGGAGCTTCAACTCCGATGTGAGTGGTTTACTAAATTAATTTTGATAGAAAAAGCATTAAAGGAGAACACATACTTTAAGACTCTCACATTCAAACTTATTTAGCTGAGTGAAAACTTCAACTTATTGTTATGAATCATAATTTAGTTCTAAACAAACAGCAACCACACACACAAAAACAACCTTCAAACAATCTGAAGCTAATTTACTTAGAGATGGGCAGGCAGAGATACTTTCAGCTCTATAGTTGACTTCATGAGTCATTCTATTTTCTCTAGCAAGCCGACATTTGGTGGTAGCAAACCTGCAAAGAAAGCAAGAAGAAAGCATCTTAATTCCCAAAAGAATTTTGGGAAGTATGTTTTGGGAAGTGCACAAAATAAATAAAAGTGAGAAAAATAAATCAAGTAAATTAAATGGACTTTGAATGATGGGTTTTAAACACGGTACATTTCTGATTGCTCAATATTAGGTAATAGGTAGATACTAATTTAACATGTACTTCCCCAAAGAATAGTAATCAAGAAAGCAAAAAGTAACCCAGGGAAATTTCTTCAAAAGAGATCATATTTAGGACAAAAAGCAAACTTTAACAAATATTAAGAAATTGAAATAATATCTTGTGCATCATTAGCTCACACAGATAAATTGGAAATCAGTAGCAAGAGAAGATACATGAATACATGGCTATTGAATGATACACTTTTAAGTGATCAGGGAGGATATCTTTACAAATCCTAGAACCAAATTTAAAGGAAACACAACTTACCAGAACCTTGGGATACAGAAAAGGCAGTTTCAAGAGAGAAGGCTAGAGATGTGAGTGCCAACATTAAAAATGCAGAGGCCAGGCACTGGTGGCTAACACCTATAATCCTAGAGATTTGAAGACTTGTGACTTGTGACTTGAATAAAGCCAATCAAAGTAGTTAAATCCAAGAGATCCTTATTTCCAGTTAACCAGCAAAAAGCCAGAAGTGGAGGTGTGGCTTTGAATGACAAAACTAAGGGAGAATATAAGGCCCGGAGGTCAAGCCCCAGTGTCAGCACAAAAACAAAATAAAACAAAATGTTGAAACATTTCAAATGACCTAATAATATACCTATTTTTTTTAAAAAACCAGAACAAGCAAAACTCCTAAATAGTGATGAATAGAAATAATAAAGATAAGGATGGAAATTAGTAAAATAAACACTAAAAGAATATAAAGGATCAATGAATCAAATAGTAGGTTCTTTGGAAAGATAAAACAAGGTGATAAAACGTTGGCCAAACTACACAAAAGAAAGAGAAGACCCAAATCCCAAATTAATTTTTTAAAGGAGAGATAATGATAAGAAATGACACGGAAATCCAGAGGTTTACTAGGGAATATTTTGAAAACATATTCTAATAAATTAGAAAATTGAGAAAAGGTTAAATTTGAACATATATGGACTACTATCAAGAAGATATAAACAACTATATCTCTAGTGAGATTAAAACAATATTAAAGAATCTCAATGCAGAAAATCAGACTATATGGATTCCATGCTGAATTCTAGCATGGTTTTATAGAACTAATAGTAAGGCTTCTTAAAAGGTAAAAGGATTCCATAAAAGGTAAAAGGAAAGAATGCTATGAACCTCTTCTCATTTTTTTGTTGTCAGTTGTGAGGCTTGATTTTAGGGCTTGAGTGCTAGCCTTGAGTTTTTTTACTCAAGGCTAGCACTCTACCACAGTACCACTTCCAGTTTTCCATGCCTGGGCTAAGACTTTGAACTCAGCCTCTTGACTAGCTAGGATTACAGGCATAAGCCATCAGCACTCAGCTATAAAACTCATTTTATGAAGCCAGTATTAGCTTGATTCCAAAACCAGATAAAGATACAACAGAAAAAGAAAACTACAGACCAATTTCTCTGATGAACATAAATGTAAAATTTCTCAATAAAATACTTGCAAACTAAATTTCATAATATATTAAAAAGATAAAACACCATGATCAAGTTAGTGTTATTGCAGGCATGCAAGGAATGCAAGGATAGTTCAACATATTCAAATAAAAATCCAGGACAAAAACCTCATGATCCTCTGAATAGATACAGAAAGGCTTTTGACTAAAGTCAACATCCCTTCATGATAAAAGTCCAAAGGAATCTAGGAATAGAAAGATCATGTTTCATCATAATAAAGACTATACATGACAAACCTATGAGTAAATAGTAATATATACATATATTACTAACTGGAGATTATTACATTAAGTGAAATTAGACAAACAGAAAGACAAATATTGAATGTTCTCTCTCATGTAGAGAATCTAAGTTTATTGTTTTAAAAATGTGAAGGCAAGAGGACTGTAAGAATGTTTTTGTTGTTGTTGTTATTTGTTTTGTTTTGTCTTTTGTTGGTCATAGAGCTTGAACTCTGGGTCTGGGCGCTATCTCTCAGCTCTTCAGCTCAAGGCTAGCACTTTACCACTTGAGCCACAGCACTACTTCTGGCTTTTTCTGCTTATGTGGTGCTGAGGAATCAAACCTGGGGCCTCATGCATGCAAGGCAAGCACTCTACCACTGAGCCACCTTCCCAGCCTAAAATATATTTTTATTGCAACAAGAAGGGCATCAGCTGGGTGAGGATACAGAAATATGATATATATATATATATATATGTTAAATCAAGGATATATACACATATATAAATGGAAAACTAAAAGCTTTTCCTCTAAAATTGGGAATGAGATAAGAGTGTCAACTCTCTCCACTCTTGTTCAATATAGTGCTTGAATTCTTAGCCAGAGTAATAAGGCAAGAAAAAGAAATAAAAGGCAATACTAAAAAGAAAGGAAGGAATTAAATTATTACTAATTGCAGATGATATAATCCTATACTTGAAAAACCCTAAAAGCTTGACTCAAAACACAGATTTTTTTTTTGTCATCTGAATCACTGTTTAAATTGCTAACAAGAACATTACAATAAGAAATACATTCTTGTATAATCTTTACAAGTAGAAGCCTGTTTGGGCAAAAACCCAGTAGTTTTTATATCAGTAAGCAATATCCTGAGAAAGAAATAAGTGAAACAATGCCAGTCACAATAGTCTAAAAACATAGATGAATACATATTGAGGAATAAACTTAACCAAGGAGGTGAAAGACTTATACAATAAAAACTATGAAACATTGGAAAAAGACACTGAGGCAAACACCAGAAGATAGAAAACTTCCCATATTCCTGGATTGATAGAATCTATGTTGTGAAAATGACTATATTACTGAAAAATGTTCCATAGAATCCATAAAATCTATCAAATTTCCATGGACATTCTTAAAAGGAAAATATCTGGGCTGGGAAGGTGGCTCAGTGGTAGAGTGCTTGCCTCGCATGCATGAGGCCCTGGGTTCGATTCCATAGCACCACATAAGCAGAAAAAGCTGGAAAAAAAATACAATGGGAAACTTTAATGCTCAGTTCTCAGTTCTTGGCTATGATGACATTGTAAATAGCACTGTGCTCTTGCAAAGTAGCAGAGAACAGAGCAGGAGTCACACAACTTCCTGTCTCTTGCTGTGCCCGCCCATTAGTAACCCAGGACTGGGAACCGAGTCCCAGTGGGACTTCAGGGCTTCCTTCTTTCTTCTGGCAAATGATGATCTAATATGCCCTTGGGGATATAGCCTCCTTGGGGATATAGCACCCCCTCGACCTCTCCCCTTAGGGAGGAAATGGACAAGGCCTAAGCCAGCCCACACCTCATACTTCTCTGGCAGTGAGGGAAGAGGAATGGGGGTGAAGGAGAAAAAGGAAAGGGAGAGGAAGCAAGAAGAGGGGAGGGGAAGGTGGACAGGGAAAGGATCGGTGGAGTGGTAAGGAAGGAGGAAGAGAAAGAGAGAGGGAAGAGGGAATCCATTTTCATAGATTAAAAAAAGAAAAGGCTCATATGCACTTTTGACTCATATCAAAACTGCTCTATTTCTGGAGCAATAAGGGGAAGCTGCCTTAAGCTATGGCATCTGTAACATAACCAGGATCCACCGAAGTCTATGCTGCAACAACTCTAAAAGTGAAGTTTTAGAGCTAGCCAGAGAAAGAGATGGATTAAGTAAATACCCACAAATAAAGACCAAAACCGAAGAGCGTTTTGTTTTTCTTTTAAGTCCAAAGAACTGAAAACTTAGTGGGAGAAATACTTTCTGAGACTGAACGGGCAGCTCCCCAAGCCAGAGCAGTCCTATTTATGTTCCCATACACCCTCCCTACCCCCGCCCCAGCCCTGTGCATCTATGTAACCCCCCGCCCCCCACGATCCTCTGATTTGCCCTCTCCCAGCCCCAAAGCCTTCCAGAGGCCTGCAGACCACCTGGCAGGCCTGAGTTTGAATTGCAGCTTTCTTCATAAATGTGTAACCTTGAGGAATTTAATTTTTATTATCTAAATTTTTCTGCATACCTTCCTTATAAAATGGAGATAATCTCTCATTTTCTGGACAGTTTTGCCTACAAATGGAAGAAATTTGGAATGGCTGGCTACCATAGGCATAACAAGCTAAAGACAGGGCTTTTAGAGCTATCTGAATACTTTGTGTGTGTGTGTATATGTGCTGGTCCTGAGGCTTGAACTCAGGGCCTGGGTACTGTCCCTGAGCTTTGAGCCACAGCTCCACTTCTGGCTTTTTAAAAAAAAATTTTTTTTAAGGGGTGGTGGTGGTGGTGAATAGGAGATAAAAGTCTCACAAACTTTCCTGTCAGGGATGGCTTCAGATGCGATCCTCAGATCTCAGCCTCCGGAGTTGCTAGGATTACAGGCATGAGTTACTAGTGTCTGACTATTTGAGCACTTCTTGAAGTTCTAAGCTCTCTGCCTCTAACATCCAAGCAGAGACAAAATGAATTGCCTGGCAGAATTATTCTTATTTGCTTATCATGATTTACTTTTCAGAGCTTTGTGAATTCTAGACATATGTTCTAGCATGGAGACACCCTCAGCCAGAAATTACCTTAAAAGGTATTTTTAAAACTTCTGTTTATATTGTTTCTCCTATCTTTTTTTCCTATTGTTTCTCCTATCATACATCAGGATAGGAGAAACTTCTAGTGCTAGTGCTTCCTTTGGCCACAAGATGGCACTCAAGGTTAACCTTTGGAGAATTAAAAAGCTAGACTGTCTAAAGATAGGTAATTATACAAACCTATGAAAACAATGTTTGGATTAAATTACCCTGAAAGGGTAACACAGATATAACATTAAGTGAATGTAGTCAGATGAACATTTTCTATGTAACTGGAAAATAGGCAAACACACATTAAGATAAAGATTA